AGCAATCCCATTTACAATGGCTAAAAAATTATAAAATACCTCATAAATAACCAGACAAATGAAAGAACTATAGAAGATAAACTATAAAACTCTGATAAAAAAATAAAAGAGGACACAAAAAATAGAAAGATAGTCCAGGTTTATGGATTGGAAGAATTAATACTGTTAAAATGACAATACTACCCAAAGCAATTTGCATAATTAATTCAATCTCTATCAAAATACCAATGACACTCTTCACAGAAATAGAAAAAGTTCTAAAATTTATATGGACCCCTAAGAGACTCCAAATAACCCAAGCAGTCCTAAGCAAGAAGAACAAAGCTGGAGGCATCACAATACCTTACTTCAAAATTTACTACAAAGCTATATAACCAAAACAGCATGGTACTAGCATAAAAACAGGCACATCGATCAAGGGAACAGAATAGAGAACCCAGATATAAATCCACATGTTTACAACCAACCTATCTTCAACAAAGACACCAAGAATATACAATGGGGAAAAGACAATCTTTTCAATAAATGGTACTGGGGAGACTGGATCACTATAGGCAGAAGAATGGAATTAGACCTCTCTCTCACCATACCCCAAAATCTAGTCAAAATGGATTAAAGACTTAAATCTAAGACCTGAAATTATGAAACTACTAGAAGAAAATATTGGGGAAACACTCCAAGACATTAGTTTGGGTAAACATTCTTTTGTGTAATACCTGAAAAGCATAAGCAACAATAGAGAATTTGCTTCTGCAGAACAAAGGATACAATCAGTAAAATGCAGAGATAACCCACAGAATCAGAGACAATATTTGCAAACTATCCATTTGACAAAGGATTAATAACCAGAGTATATAAGGAGCTCACACAACTCAATAAAAAAACCCTAAGTAATTCAATTAAACATGAGCAAATGAGCAAAAGATCTGAACAGGCATTTCTTAAAGGAAGACATACAAATGGCCAACAGGTATATGAAAAATGCTCCTTATCAGGAATCATCAGAGATATGTCAATCAACACCACAATGTAATTTGACCTTCTCTTTCCCAATTTAGATTCCCTTTACTTCTTTCTCTTGCCTGATTGCTCTGACTAGGACTTCCTATATTGTATTGAATAGAAGTGGTGACAGTGGGAAGACTTGTCTTGCTCTTAGGGGGAATGCTTTCAATTTTTCCCCATTCAGTGTGATGTTGGCTGTGGTTTGTCATGTATAGTTTTTATTATTTTGAGGCTTGTTTCTTCTATGCTTAGTTTTTGGAGATTTGTATCATGAAGTGGTGCTGGATTTTAACAAATACTTTTTCTGCATCTATGGAGATGATCATATGGCCTTCATTTTTACTTATGTTTATGTGGTGAATTACATTTATTGATTTGCATATGTTGAACCATCTTGCATGCCAGGAGTAGCTTTTATACTTTAGGCACATAAAAATGCTTGCTGTGGCTTTTTGGAGGGAAAGGTGTGAGCCCCAAGCGCCATGGAAGCCTGGGTATACTAGACACTCTGTCAGAAGTGGGGCAGCTATTTCCAAGTGGTCTGGCTTAATTGTCCCCTGCTTGCACTACTTTTGTTAAATTTCTATGTTTTTGTTCTCTTTGGTGCTTTTGTAAATGGATTGTGTAATTGTATTTTGTAATTTTATTTCAGATTTTCATTGCTAGTATACAGGAATACAATCAATTTTGTATATTGATCCTGTATTTTATAACCTTGCTGAATTTATTAGTTCTAATAGTTATTTTTAGTGTTTTATAAGTAAGATCATGTCATCTGCATATAGAGATAATGCTCTTTTAAGCAGTTCCAGCCATCCATTTCTTCTGTGTTTTGTTCTGTTACTCCTTTCCTTTCTCCCTTTGTATTATTTGATTATTTTTTGGATTTTGTCTTAATTTTCTGTTGAATTTGTAGTTATTATTTTTATAAGGGTGCCTTAGGGTTGCAATATACATTCAAAACTTTCACTGTGTAGTTATAGCTGTAATGCATTACTTCACATAAAAAATAGAAATCTTGAAACATTATAAATTCATATCTCACTGTCCTTTATGTTATCATTGTATATGTGGTACATCAATGTACATATGAATTTTATAAAACAATACTATAATAAAATTATACAAATTTATATAGTGTCTTAGTTGAAGTTGCTACAATGGAATACTATAGATTGGGTTGCTTAAACAACATACTTATTTCTCATAGTTTTAGAGTCTGGGAATGCCAAGATCAAGGTGCCAGCGGATCCAGTATCTGGTGAAGGCACATCTTTCTGTAGAAGGTTCTCTTCTCATTGTATCCTTACATGGGGGGGGTAGGGGGGAGAGAGAGAGAGAGAGAGAGAGAGAGAGAGAGAGAGAGAGATCATCTTTCTTCTTATATGGACACTATTGCTGTTCATGAGAATCTTCCGTTGTGAACTAATGACCTCCCCAAAGCTCTACTTCCTAAAACCGTCACATTGGGGATAAAGATTTCATCATGTGAATTTTGGAGGACACAATCATTCAATCTATAACATATTGATTAAATAGTATCAAGAAGAAATGGGCAAAAATAGGTTTGTTTGGGGTTTTTTTTGCATTTACCTGATGTTCATTTCTGACACTCTATGGTTTTTTTTGTTGTTGTTGCTGAGGAGCCACATTTTCATCAGATATGTTTGCTTTCAGCCAGAAGAACTTTCTTTACCGTTTATTGTAGTGCAGTTATGAATTTCCACCTGGAGCTGGGCTCTAAGTTGCTCCACAGTTGAATGAATGAGCACAGTCAAGATCAGCAAAGTCCAGCATGGATTAGCTGATGCCTGAGCCAACCCACAGATGCATACGTTGAATATAATTGGTTTTATTGCACCATTGGTTTTTAAGGTGGTTTCTTACTCAGCAAAAGCTAACTGTTAAAGTAGTGGAAGAAAGATAATGAAGACAAAAATTGGGCAAAGTTAGAAGAAACTTAAAGAGGAGGAAATTGAGACAGGAGAAATTTCATTTAAAATAAGTTATTCCATTGAACTGGCTTGGAAATGTCACATTGCTTGTTCTCATAATGCTGCATGGCATCATGGGATCTATAGTTTCCTGAGTCTACAAGCCAGCTTTCCAGGGAGGCTGTGGCTATTGAGAGAAGAGGTAACAATCAGGAACACAGAGGGTGGATTTGGGTGTGGCTCGGGTGGAGGGAGAGATAAATGGGCTCAGTTTTGAGCAGGATGGTGATTCTGAGATCTCTGAAGGGCGTCCAAGGGGAGTTTTCCAGCAGCTCAGCTCAGGGCTGTGCTGGAGAACTAGATTTGGGCGTCCTCAATAAGCAGCCAGTAGCTGAGGAAGCTGGGATTGGAGGTGCACTGTGAAGCCAGTGCAAAAACAGCTGGAGACAGCTGTGGTGGCTGACACCTGGTTATTCTATGGAAAATACTTCATTCATATGGGTGATTGTATGTCTTGATCAATTAAAAACTGAAGCATGTTTATTATGAATATTTAATTTTTAACCCAACAGGGAGATGATAAATACCTCTTGGTCAGCAAGCAGAGGGTGCCTTGTAGCACTAAAGCATCACCATATACCAGGTGTCCCCAGAGCCAGGAGATAACCTCAAACTGGAGCAGATGAGGGAGTGTGCCTTTCACCGGAACAGCTGGCATGACTGGCAGGACTGCGTGGGGGAAATACTGACGGGGGTTCCTGAGAGGCGGTGAGTTGGAGCTAAGGGAGAAGGAAGAAGAAAGCTCCAAAGTAAGGGGAGAGTGAAACGTGGGAAAGAATGAAGCAGAGCCCCAAGTAGGGACCATCGGAGAAAACAAGGATAAAGTAATCAAGGAAAGTGGGACAAGAAGATGGAAGAGTCAGGTAGACGTCAGGTGGGAAGAGGAGGTCAACCCGCAAGGAGAAAGCCAGGTAGAAGAAAGAAGGAAGAGAGAAAAAGAAGGGGTAGAAAACAGAGGAGGAGGCAGCCAAGGAAATCTGGATGCTGAATCAGAGACGGGGACAGGTAGGAAAACCAAGGGGCGGAGGACGAGATAAAAGCGGGAAATGGAAGAGAGGAAGAACAGCGTCTGGATGTGCCATGGCTAGACAGGGGTTCAGAGAGCAGCGGCATCGCCAAGGCCTCCACCGGAGGGAACCCGGCTCAGCGGCTCCAGGAGCTGGGAAAGAGCATCCCGAGGGAGAAGCCCTAGATGTTAGCCTGAGTCTGGGCCACTCCCAGTGTGGGGCGGACGGACAGGACTACTAGTCCTGGCCCCATCGGTGCGTCAGCACCGGAGCTCAGCGGACGCGCCTCTTTGACCAAGGCGAACGGCCCAGGGATGCTCGCGGGGAGGCACAGAGACGGCTCAGGAATTAGGGCCCGAGAGAGGCCGGTACCTGCCTGAGGGGCGCAGGCACTGCTGCCGAGTGGCTACGGAGCGTGGCGCCCCGAGCACAGGGGCTGGCGGGCGCTCGCAGCGCCAGGACGTCCGGCCCGGGGTCGAAGGAAGGCTGCAGGGCTGGGTGGGAGCTGCGGGGAGTGAGACGGCTAAGGAACACGAGGGGTCGGGGAGATCCCGGCTTGGGGCTTTGCGGGTGGGGCTGCGTGGCCACGGCCCAGAGGATGTGTGTTGGCGCGGGAGAACGATCCCAGCTGAATCGTCCGTCCCAGTGGGGCTGTCTTCCTGTTTCTTAGTTCCAGAAGTTGCAACATCAGAGGTCAATGCGTGAGGAACAAGTCATTGAGGGGCAGCCTAAGGGGAGACCAGAGGAAAGTGGGGGAGAGGACGGGCGCGGGCGGAGGCGGGGGCCCAGGACACCTTTTGGCACCACGAAAGCCATCGTCCTCGCGCTCTGTCCCGGCCGCATCCCAGAGCGCCAGCCCTGGGAACAGGCATCGCTGCGGAGCCGAGCGCACGCCGCGCTGGGGTGGGAGGCAGGATGGAGGGGCGGGAGCCGAGGCCGAAGGGGCGGACACAGGGTGGTGTCTTGAGCTGCATAAATGGGCCGTGGGGTCCGCGCTCTCCTCTACGTGGGCAGCAGCCACTGGCGGGAGCGCGGCGCGATGCCGGGCCGGTGCCAGCAGAGCCCAGTGCTGGCAGGCAGCGCCACTTTAGTTGCCTTGGGGGCACTCTCGCTGTACTTCCCGGAGCCCGCCGGCTACGGGAAGTACACGGAGACCCTGACGCCCTCGGCTGTCCGCCTGCCCGCCGGCGCCGCCTGGTTCCTGCAGGAGCTGCCCTCCTTCGCGGTGCCCGCGGGGATCCTCGCCTGGCAGCCCTGGTCCCTCTTCGGACTGCCTGGGACTGTGCTTCTGGTCCTCTTCTGCGCGCATTACTTCCACAGGTAGTGTTTGTCCCCTGCCGGCGCCGAGCGCAGCGCGAACGCCGAGGAGGCGGCGCAGACGGCGGCGAGGAGCGTGAGCCGGGCTTGTGAGGCACACCTGGCGGGCCGGGCTGGGGGCCGCGTGCGGGCGAGTTGGGAAGCGGCCGCGGGACAGACGCAACGGTCACTACCCGGGCCCCGCGCCCCTCTCAGCCGCTCCAAATCCTCCGGCTGCTGGAGAGGAGGCCCTGCGGGCAGGGGGCGAGCTGGAAAGCTCAGGTTGGGCAGAGCTATTGGACAGGACTCTTCCCTGTCCACCTGCGTGCAGTCTGCGCTTCTCTGGGGCGTCTCGCGACCCGCCCCCACTTCTCTTTCTTTTTTCACCTTTCCCTTGCAGGGTGGGGGCAGGTTGGTTCTGGGATCTTGGAAGAGTCTTAGTGTTGGCACCTCCTGAAGGAAACTCAGCTTAGGGGTTCTGATCAATTTAGTCTTTGCTGGTCTGAGGAGGGAGGTGGATAGATCCTGGGCTCTGGACTTCAGAGGTGGGAAAGAGAATACATTGGGATTCCACTGGCTTAAGTGAGAGCCCCACTTCTTAGGCTCCACCTCAAAGGGACCAAGCTCATCACCAGCTCACCTGTCTCTCCAGTTTCCCTGGGACTTGAATTGTGAGTGGGTCAAAGTTGACTTAGAGCTGAAATGTTTTTCTAGATTAAAAATTACGAGTTCAGGAGAACCTTGAGTCCTCTTCTGGGAAGGAAAGACAGGCAGGAGACCAAGGTACATAAGAATTCAGAGAAAGACTGTCAGCCCCAGCAAAGTCTTACAGGAAAAGGGAAGAACACATTATTGCCTACCATGCCCAATCATTTACTATGATCTCATTTAGCCCTATTGTAACCTTGTGAGATTTGTATTTATTATGTCTACTTTACAAAGAGACAGGCTGAGTAGGATTATGTGATTGAAGGAAGATGACACAGCCAGCACCCAGCAAGATTCGAATCTGAGCTTGTGTATCTCTGTGGTTTCAGGCCTTTTAACTGCTCTAAGTAGGAGATAACAGTCCCTGGACAGAGAAAAGTTGCCAAACCAAATCAAAACCTTCAACAAGAGCACTGCCTTATTTTGAGTAGAGGATTCCTAGGGTCAAAAGAGCAAGCAAATTTAGATTGGAAATTAGGGTAAAGGATTCCTCTGGAAGCTGAAAGGCATAATCCTCTCGTAGGGAAAAAGTGATGCCTCATTTTGGGGGGAAGGAAGTGTCAGAAACACAAATTTCAACCTCTCTTTCCTTAGTTTCCTCTTACCCTCCGAATCTTCTTTGTAAGTCAAGATTTAATATTTGTGCAACCTTAACTGAATTCTCCCTCTTAAAAAAGTAAGTAGTGACAAGCAATAAGAACTAAAATTTGTATCCTTTCAACAAATGTTTACTAAAAGCCTGTTGTGAACAAGGTTCCAGGGTAGTTATCAATCACTTTATTTTACCCAGATTTAGATGGTTTCATTTGCACAGAAAGAAGGATGTTGGGTATAGTAGATAAGAGACCAGTTTTTGATTTAACTGAGTTTGGAACAGACATTTGACAGAAAAATATGATTTTATGGACAACTACTTTTATCTTCAAGTTAACTACTGTCTGTTAGCGCCATAAACACCTCATAAATATTTTTATGAGGGCATTTCATCTTAGAATAATGATTAGTGTTTTCTGCAAGTCCTATTAACATAATTTTTAGGCTTGTTTTTAAAATCAAAAGGCACTTTGCACAATAAATTATGTCCAGCACATTAAAAAAATAAGGAAATATTTACCCATAAAATGAATATCTACATATTATCCATCTTCTTCAGAGGAAATTTGAAAATATTAGTAAAGGACATGGGAATTGATTCTGCCTGAGGAAAAATTGTCTACTGAAAGCACAATTCTGAGTTATTTGTTCCAAAGGCATCAGAATATAACGTTTGCCTGCCTTTTCCCTTGTTTGAATTCTTTTTTGTTCCCATTTTGAGTGCTTTACCAGGTGTTACCCTCTGTGCCAAACGCTTAGTGAATCAGCTACTAATCCTTCTACCAGCCCATTCAGATAAACACGATTATCACCCATTTAGGTAAACGCTATTATCACCCTCATTTTGCAGGCAGGAAACTGGGGCAAAAACTCTGATTCCTGAGGGTCACACAGTAACTGGAGGAATCAGAGTTCAAACCTGCGTAGTTTGAATCAGTTCAGATTTCAGGCTGTTAGCTAAGATGATAAACAATTTTATACTTGTTCTTAAGTATCATCCTCCTTGCTTTTTAAAAACTATATTTAGGTTTTAAATGATTACTTTTTACTAATGAAACAATGGAAAGTACAAAAATATAAAATATTCATAATTTCAATATCTAAGTATTTTAACTATGAGTGTTTCGTGACATTTCCATCAAGCCTTTTATTTTTCTTAGCAGATTTTTAACATGCTTGTTATATTGAATATGTAGTTTTTTGTTCTACTTGATTACCTAACATTTTATAATAAGTATTTCCCCACATTGTCATAGAATCCTTGTAAATATCTTCTTAATGGCTGTTTGTTATTTTTATCTCCCATAAAAACATATTTATTTATATATTCATTTACAGTTGGGCATTTACTTTTTTTTTTTTTTGGCTAGGTTAAATAATGCTCTGATGTGCATTTTTGCATCTAAATTCTTTTTAGAAGTTAGGATTATTTTTTTCATCAAGATTCCCAGAAGTAGTTCAAAGGTTATGAGCATTGTTTAGGATCTTGATATAGATCTGCTTTGAGACTTTTGGAGTCATTTGGCTGGATGATGAGTATGGATTAGGAACAAGCATCAACCTGTCTTGGCTTTTTCCTATCTTGTGTGTTCTATGACACAGAGAATATGATGGAGGAACAAGGTCTCAGGAGGAAGGATGGCTCAGGTTTGGCTCAGACCCTTTTGGAAAATGTCCCTTGGGAACTGTTCAGAACAGCAATATGTCTTAGTAGATAGAAGTTAAAACTCATTGCACTTTTTTCAGTACAAGGATGATATACTAGAACGTAGGTCTTAGAGTTAGGGTTTTTTTGGTCTCATGTCTTTATGGCTGTATCCCCAGTGTACAGAAAGTGCTGATACATAGGTGTATTCACTAAGATTTTTGAATGCACGAATGAACTCTACTTACAACAACAGTACTGAAGGAATTGTGAGAGAACTAGCAATTACTTAGGAATCATTATTGCTGAGATTGCATGGCTAGGTCACTTCAGATAACTTTCCTCCCTTCAGAATCTATTGTTGTGGATGTGTGGATTGCTTAACCACGTGAAAATCACTGCTGCCTAAGCATATTGCTTAATCTCACTGTCAAGGTCGTTTGAAGTCAGAGCTATCTCACCTCTTGACCTCGACTAGAGGTGTGAACGACTGTCCAAACTCTGAGTGATCTTCATTTTCTCAAGAAGTCTTGGTGTCCTATACAGTGGGCATGATGCCAATTGTGCATGGGGTAGCCAATGTCTTTTTCAAGAATTAGATGGGACCTTGATAACTGATGAAAAAGAAAAAGAAAAATCTTTCCCCCCAAAAAGGCGACTATATTGTGAAAAGGTGCTGGACGGTGATACACTTCTTTCGATGATACACATCTGGAAGAAGAGTGTAATGCACACATTAGAGTCTGCTTGAATTCAGAGAGATATTCCCTGGGATTTAGATGCTGAAATATTTTCCTAGTGAGCCAAATAAAATGATGGCTTCAGTAAGAAGGCTTTTGCTTTCTTGGGGAGTTCATTCTCCAGGAGCACCAATTCCTCCTCATCCTTCAAGACCGAGCATTTCCTCCAAACAGACTTGGGGCTGAGGGTTTTCTCCTATGTCAATCCAGTTTTGATGCCATTCGTTTGGTTTTTGTAGCAGCCAGTGTGGCTTTCCATGAGGCACTTCTCACACTGGATCATGATTGTCTCTTATAAAGAAACACAGTCCAAGGCCGGGCGCAGTGGCTCACGCCTGTAATCCTAGCACTCTGGGAGGCTGAGGCGGGCGGATTGCTCAAGGTCAGGAGTTCAAAACCAGCCTGAGCAAGAGCGAGACCCCGTCTCTACTATAAATAGAAAGAAACTAATTGGCCAACTGATATATATATAAAAAATTAGCCGGGCATGGTGGCGCATGCCTGTAGTCCCAGCTACTCAGGAGGCTGAGACAGAAGGATCGCTGGAGCCCAGGAGTTTGAGGTTGCTGTGAGCTAGGCTGACGCCACGGCACTCACACTAGCAAAAAAAAAATAAAAAAAAAAGAAACACAGTCCTCATTTGTTCAGGCTCCTCATTTCACAGAAGCAAAGTGCAAGAGGTTGAGTCAGTTAGGAACAAAGTGGAGACTTTGGAACATAAGTATCCTCATAGACCCCTGCCACTGCTTCTCTTACCTCATAAGAGGTGCAGATATTCCAAATATTCAGAAGTAATCAGATCTTACTAAGGAAACTACTCATTGGCTAAGAATCAGAATGGTAACTGATGCCTACATTGGAAACAATAGACAAATCTGTCTTACAGATTAAGAAGAAAAGCTCAGGCAAGATGAGCAACATTCTTATGGTGACTTATCACATTTTAAGGATGTTCATGGGGCATAATTTGGATTATTTAAGATTAACTGAAGGATTTTTTAATTTTTAAAGTTTTTTTAAAATTTCAAGATATTTGAGAGTACAAACTTTGGTTACATTTTATGTTTTTGCCTCACCCTAGAGAGGGTTAGAGGCATGCCCTTCCCCTCTACAATGCTCACCATGTCCATTAATTGTGAGTTTACCCCTCAACCCCCTAATCAGAATGAGAGCCAGAAATCTTTTTCTGTAAAAAGCCAGATCATGGTATCTATTGCAAAAACCCACCTCTGCTGTTGGAGCAGGAAAGCAGCTACAGACATGTAAACAAATGAGTGTGGTTGTATTCAATAAAACTTTATTTACAAAAACAGCCAGTGGGCCATATTTGGCCTGTGGGCAGTAGCTTACCAACCCCTCTTTAAGAAAACTATGAGTGGCATAGGTTTACATTTATTCGGTGCCCTGGTAATTCTATAATAGAATTTGGTTAAATTCTGTAGCAAAGAAGCAGCATATTTTAGAAAATTTCTGCTCCATGTAAGTGGGGACATGACAGCAAACATCATTTTCTGAGAATTCTTGGGTTCCAAGTTCTTTATTTGAACCCTTATGGGAAATAGTAGGAGTCTTGGAGTTTTCATTCTAAATGGGATGACATCATAAGCACATCTGAAAAACATATAGCTATGTTTGCCAAAAATATAAACAAGCTTCAGAGATCATGACAATTTCACTTTTACCACATTGAATAAAGGACCAACTTCTTGCTCATTTTCAATCTAACTTATTGTCACTTAAAAAAAAAGTAAAGAATTCAGATTGGAATTCAGGGTTTTGGATTGGCAAAGTGGCCTTTACCAAGTTACCTGGCAGGGAAAGAGTAGAGTGGAGCTTGAACTCAGTACCCCAGATCTTTATCAGAGTTATGTTAATACATGCTGAGAACTATGCTAGGTTGTATGGGAGATGCAAAAGAAGTACAGTACCTGGTGCTTGCCTTTTGGGGAAGAACCATCATTGCATGCTTATCACTCTTCCTGGCGTGAAACCTGGTGGAAGCAATGTCAGTCTGAGAGTACCACACAGGTGGGAAAATGTACCCCGAGGGGAAATGTACCCCGAGGAGGACCACAGGCATGCCACTAAACATTCATGCTGAAGGTCTACAGGCTTGTCTGTGCTTGTGCAGGGGACACAGGGCAGATGGCTGGGTGAGTTTTGAAGGTGCCCCCAAATGGCAGCCCTCTTCTCCACCCAAGTTCAGAACTGACTGATAGATAGACCCAGGAATTAGGCTACTAGAGACAAAATACCACCCTATTACTGGTAAAGTTTGTCTGGGGGAATGTGACTTAGATTTTGAATCATGTGGACCTCCTTACACTGTACTTCGAAAATGCTCAGCAACAACCATGGCTGGACAACCTCAGGCTTCTCCCAGTGGTGCCTGTTCTGAAAAGACAGCTGAAGGAGGGCTGAGTTGTATACGCCCTTTGAGAGGTCCTGCTCTCACATTAACCAATCAGGTAATTCCTTTTGCCTTCCAGAGGAGAAACAGGTGAGGGAGAGTGGGCAGATCCAGAGGGATTCTCTAATGAAAGGCCCTCAGCAAGTTGGAAGGGAGCATAAATATGTTTTTATTTCTACATAGAATACAAGCATTATCTACCTATTGATTTTTGCCAGAGACTGGCAACTTGTTTCTGGAACTTGGGTCCTTCCCACTCGGCTGTTGACTCTCTGCCGTGTATGGCAATGGGGACATCAAAGTCTGGACTTGAGTTGTTTAAAAAGTTTCTGTGCTCAACCCAGGAGCCTTTAACGAGACTCAGCTCAACATAGGAGCTCTAAATTTTAAAAACCTCTGAACTGGGGCCAACAGTGCAATTTGCCTTCCATTTGGTTATAGAAGGGAGAGAAGGGAAGGAGAAACCAATATTTATTGAGCTCTGCGTGTTCCAGGCACTATGTTATTTGCTTTACACTAGCTATCTCATTTTGTGCTTGAGAAAATCACTATTATTAGTGCCATTTCACAAGTGATTGCAGTGCAGAGCATTGGTGGGTGAACGGGAGTGAGGATGGAAAGACACGCACTTGACCTGGTCCTCGAAGGATGGCAGGACCAGATTTGTGGGTGGGGATGTGATGTCTGTCAAAAAAAGGGACCCATTTGGTGATTTATGACTTAAAATTGCCCTGTACTCCATATACTCAGTCTTGAAATATCTCTCCGCTTTTTAATCCAAACATCTTCTGTATCTATGCCATACTATCCAAGCCTACTACCTAAGTCTTAAATCAGACTCTGGGCCATTAGCAAAATTGTTCTATTATACTTGTTCCATATTGTCAAGGCTTATCCTAGAAGTTACTGGGAAGGAAATAGAATAATTTGCTTTTAACATTTTGTCTATCTAACCATAAAGCATCTCAAGATCCTTTTCTGTGCACAGACTCCATTTCTCTGTTGCCTCTGCCTGTCTTCTTGTAACAGCAATACACAATCTTCTATCATTCACAACTTACCTCTTCTGTACCTCAGTCTATCAGTGAATGTTCTTTACTTTCCAAACATTACTTATCTGGTAAACAAATCCAAATAGCAGTGTATTGGGTTGCTTGTTTTTATTTTATTAAATACCAGTATTTGGATACAAGTGTTTTACCAAATATGTGCTTAGCAAATATTTTCTCCCAGTTTGTGGCTTGTCTTTTTATTTTCTTTACTGTCTTTTAAAAACTTTTAATTTTAATGAAGTCTAATTTTTCAATTTTTCTTAGGCTTTTGGTGTTATATCTAAGAAATCTTTGCTCAATCTAAGGTCGCAAGGATTTTCTCTTATAATTCATTCTAGAGTATTTGTAGTTTTAGGTTTTACGTTTAGCTATATGATTGATTTTGAATTCATTTTTTATAGGATTAGAAGTATGAATCAAAGTTATTTTTCTTTTGCATATGGATAGCCATAGTATTTTTTTCTCCAATGAACTGCCTATGTATCTTAAATTTAAAAAATGTGAAAATTACGTAAACATATATCTTGCCAAAAAAAAATATGAATGGCAAATAACAAAATGAAAAGATGCTCATTATTAGTCATTAAAGAAATGCAAATTAAACCACAATGGAGTACCACTGTGTATCTGCTAGAATGGCTAAAATTAAAAAGACTGAGTATAACAAGTGTTATGGAGTATGTGCAGGAACTGGAACTCTCATACATCATTGATGGGAATGTAAATGGCAACCACTTTGGCAAACAGTTTGAAAGTTTCTTCCAAAGTTAAACATATACTTATCATATGATCTAGCCATTCCATTTTTAGGTATTTTTCTAGGAAAAACAAAAGAAGCTGTTCCTACAAGGACTTGTATACAAATACTTGCAGCAAATTTTTTTGTAGTGGCCTAAAACTGGAAACACCACCACTGCTGATCAGCAGGTGAATGGACACACCCACTGCACTGAGGTATAACCACATAATGGAATACTAATCAGCAACGAAAAATGAACTATTGATGTGTGCTACAACATGGCTGAAAAGCAAAGTAATTATTCTGGGTAAAATCAATCAAAAAGAGTGCATGCTTTACGATTCTGTTTACATAAAATTCTATGAAATTCAAACTAATCTATAGTGACATAAAGTACATCAGTGGTTTCTTGAGGCTATAGGAGGAATAGGAGGGTGGAAATACAAAGGGTATGAAGAACCTTTTGGTGGCGATGGATATGTTCATTATTTTGATGTGATATGGTTTCATGGGTGCATATATTGCAAGTTACCGAATTGTACACTTTATTGAATTATAATTAGTTATACCTCAGTACAAATTTTAAAAATGTAGGTAAGCCTGTGAGAAAATTGTATGTTTGTGTTACCTTGTGTCACTGATAATTGTTCAAACTTTCTGTGGAGCTAAACTGGCAATATTTACCAAGAACTGAAAAGCTATTCACTTCTGTTTGGGAGGGGGCAGCAATTTTACTCAAGGGTAATACTTAAGGGAAATAATCCAAAAGAAAGAAATCCAGCCTACATAATGTTATAGTGTTACTATTCACAACTGTGAAACACTAGGAGTTTCTTAAGTGCTCTACGATGGAGGACTGATTGTAATCAATATGACTAAATATCATGTATACTTCAAAAATATCCACATAGACTATATCTGTGTTTGTAAATAAGTATATGAGGTCATTTAGTTAAAAAATAGCACCTAAGGAGTACACAGAATAAATCCATGCTGACATGTATGAATTAATATTGATAGTGATTGCAATATAAAGTGATGTAAATAGCTGATACTTGAGTTTTACATTTTCTCTTGTAATGTTATTAAAGTACTTAATGGTTTAACTCCTACTATAACTAATAGAGGAAATAATATTACTATTACAAGATTTTAAGAAGTACCTTACAAACTGACCATACAAGTAAATCTCAACAGAGATCAAGACATCCCTATACGTATGCACTGCTTTGAGGGATTTTAAAAGTCATGCTTTGTGTGTGAGATCTCCCCTACTAAGCCATTATGATACTACCAACTTCTGAAATTATCATCTTTCTGTTCCTCCTTTGTGTTAAGATGTTGAAGATTTCTTAAAATTCGATCATATTCCCTGATAAAGTGTCCAAACATCCTTTTAATATTTGTTGAATCTGTGGGAACCTTACCTCATTCATTCTTGATAATGGTAATTTTTATGGTCTCTCAATTTTTTTCCTGATCTGATTAGTGCTTTATCAATTTTATTGATCTCAAAGCATCAGATTTTGGTTTCATTGAGTTTCACTATTGATTTTCTGTTTATTTATTTTCTGTCTTGATGTTTATTATTCCTTTCTTACGCTTATTTTGGTTTTAACTTACTCTCTTTTTTTCTATTTCATAAAGTGAAAGCGGAGGTTATAGATTGACAACTTCTCTTTCTTCTAATATGGACATTTATTGCTATGAATCTCACCATACATATTGTTTTATGGCACTTCACAAATTCTGATATGTTGTTTCTTTTAATTCACTTCAAAATAGTTTAATTTTTCTTTTGATTTCTTCTCTTGTTCATGGGTTATTTAGAAGACAGTTATTTAGTTTCTAAATGTTTAAGAATTTTCCAGACATTTTATGTGATTAATTTCTGGTTTAATTCCATTGCGGACAGAGAGCATACTTTGTGTGGTTCATATATCTTTTTAAACTTACTGAATTTAAAACTTATTTTACGGCCCAGAATTTGGTCTATCCTGGTAAATGTTCTGTGTAAATGTGAAAAGAATATGTATACTGCTCTGAAGAGGAGTGTTCTAAAATGTCCATAGATTAATTTGATTGATAGTGCTTTTCAAATCTTCTATATCCTATTTTCTATTTGTTCTATCAATTATTAAGAGAAGAATATTGATATGTTCAACTAAAACTGTAGATGTGCTTACTTATAGGCATCATAATAGTTCTATCAGTTTTTGCTTCATGTATTTTGGGTTTTGTTTGTTTTTGTTTTTTTAATAGTGAAAATATACTTTTTTTTAATACAGTAGCTGCCAGCAGTATGCTGGTGTTGATGTTTCAGAGAGAAAAGAAAACACAAGCGCTCTATAATAAGCTTTCATCTGCTTGCTCAAGAAATTCGAAAGAAAATGCTCCAAAATTCTGTTCAATATTATGGCTTGAGGGGTTAAAATTTTTTCCAGGATAAAAATATAATTTTAGTGGCCCAAACCTTGATCATTTATAAAGGATAGAGTAAAGAAAAGTCCATATATCAATAATGAATGCTTCCCTCTCTATGAATTAAATACTGGTTATAACAAGTGTAAGAAATTGGTGAATCAATAAACTTGATAAAATGTGTATCAAAATGCTCATGAAAAAATACATTTCTATTTCCTTTCATTTTTACTTTGTAGTATTCTCTAAGTGGGTTTTTTAGGTGCACAGAAATAAAGGCTATCTACATACAACTCTGGAGAGATTCAAAACCCAACAGAAGTAAAGTTAAAATGCCTATATTCTAGAGTTGATCCACTTAGTGTAAGAATAAATGTCAGAAATATCTTAATTGTATATAGATGGCTTAAGGGTTTAAAGATGAGTTGTGAAAGCCAAGGTTATCAAGAAATCTTATTTGAATTTCATCACAAAAGTTAACATTCCTAGTAAAAACAAGATAACAGAACTGTATAGAAAATCTGCATCTATATCAGAAAAGGGAAGTTATATCAACTAAAATAGAAGAGAGCTTTCCAACTGTTGAATACAAAAATTTCTCAGAATCCTTTGGAAAACAGTGAGAACTTCCATTCAGACTCTAACCTCCTTACTGAAGTAATAAAACATAAAAGGTGTTTAAACAAAGGAGAATGATTTGTTAGTTGTAGAAATAAAATCAGATGAATTCCATTATGTCAACCTATACACTACATGAATTGCCTGCCATGAAACTTTTTTTTAAAGAGCATATAGTTAAATTTTATTTATTTATTTATTTATTTCAGCATATTATAGGGGTACAAATGTTTATGTTACATGTGTTGCCTTTTCCCCCCTCCCCTCCCGGAGTCAGAGTTTCAAGCGTGTCCATCCCCCAGATGGTGCCCATTGCACTCATTATGTATGTATATACCCATCCCCTCCTCCCCCCTCCCATCTGCCTGACGCCTGATAAATGTTACTCCTATATGTCCATTTAGGTGTTGATCAGTTAATACCAATTTGCTGGTGAGTACATGTGGTGCTTATTTTCATGAAAACTTTTATGTCCCAAATCTTTCAATATTTTAAGCTATAATCTTTCCACAAACATACAATGAGGTAAAAGAATGTTGTGGGATCATCCTTTCTACTAGCTTTTGTCCACCTGCCAATCTCAATTTCATTTGACTAACTTCTCTGATAAAGTAATAATAAAATCTGTCTTTATACAGAGACAAGTAATTCTGTCTTTGTCAAAGTCTTTTGGACATCCAGAGAGAACCAGGTGTAATCACTGGATAAATAAAAAACAATCAAGAGAATAAATATCCAAAGTGAAAATACTTTGAATTTCAGAATGGGTTTGTCATCACTCTATTTTAAGAATGGAGCTCTTTCCTCGGTTAGCCCTCCAGCCCTCTACCCTGTACTACTTAATCCACCATTCACTAGAAAGAACAGATACCCCTTCTCTCAAATCTTTTTCATACTTTAAGCTATAAGGCAAGGTTCAACCTGAATCACCTGAATGCCAAGCTGCCACTATTTAAAAGGTAGATGAATAGTGATGATACTTGCCTGTGTACTGGTACAGATGGGACACTTTCACCCACTGAAGTTACTGTAATATAATTTTGCAGTAGATAAATGGATAGTGCATCTTCCTGGAACCAGATAAATCATCATCCAATATTTAATTAACAGAAAAGTACTCACATTTTTGATCAGCAATAGGAGTTCTAAGAAAGATAAGGCAACGGAATTTCCCTGAGCCAAATGGATACAATATGGAGCTTTTTTTATCTTTCAATACTAAGCTAATTTACTGATAGGTTAAAAAAGCAGTATGCTTATAAAAGTCAGGCTGCTATTATAAAGCCAGTGCTTACTAAGTATTAACATATCAAAGGGGAAAACCACTGCCGTTTTAAAGCAATATGCTTAAAATTTCAAAAAATAGCTCATGACAAATAGCACTTTCTACACAAGTTGGGTATAAAAAATTACAAAAATGTATTATAGTCACAAGCACAGTCTTCAGATTTGTACTCAGAAAGTCTGTTGTTTTTTTTTTTAAAGAGTAAATGCATAACAAATTTTTATTTTCACCAAGTTCATCCTCTCTTGTTAGAGCACAAAGAATTCTTATTTAGGACTTCAATTTAAAAAGAAAAAACAAAACAAAGCAAAAACACATGCAAGTGCTATTCCTCAACATGACTGTAAAAAAATTTAAGTCAAGGAAGTGTGATGATTGACACCAGGCAAAACTGCAGTAAATACTCATTCACCATAACAACTATAATTTAGTCCAAAAGGAGTGAACAATCCTCTATGTAAGGTAAATGAGGTGAAATAAGAAAATTGGTAATCTGTGTTTTATTTTGTTTCACTATAGGATGGATAATGCATTCTTTAGACCATCTACATTAAATATGCTTTAGAAACAAAAATTTACTTGCTATTTTGACAAATGCACCTTTCATTCCTTAGGTTAATTTCTGTGTTAATTTTTACATTACTAAACATTGTACTGATATAGATAAATCAACTAAGTATCAATTTATGTAGTGTTGCTCAAAAGATCTACAAGTAGTAAGCTCTCTGCTTACCTAAAAAAGGAGTTTTTTTTTTTAAATAAAAGAAAAAAGCAATAATGTTCCAAATGAATGGCACTGGGCAAAATATATGTAACAAACACATTAATACAGAATCTTAGGTGCCTATCAGTTTCTATAAAAGGATAAAATGCTTGCAGAAGATCTTGAGAGAAAACCATCTCTCCCTCTAAACTTTTAGCTTCTACATAGTGTCAGATGTTTCAATTAGTATGAAGGATAAATGCTTTTAGGCAAAAGTAAAAATCTACCTACAAAGCAAAATAGCAAAATCTGTAGTGTCTTTCTGTACAAGGCTCTCTGTTCTCTGGTGGCAATATTCTTTAGTACATATAGAGGATAGACTAAATGGAAACAGAATATTTCTGATACAGTAGCAATCCTCTCATATACTCTTACTAAATATTACAAAATTAAAAAATACATAGATATTCCTTGTACTACATATTATGCACCAGTTTGGGGCTACCTGATGAAGTCGTGGCTACTATTTTGACAGTTAAACATTGCACCTCCGAAGTTCTGCCATGGGTGCACAGTGAATGGACACAATGCTTAGGGCTCCCAAGAGATGGCAAACTACCTCTAACGTGAAAAGTTTGTGACAGAGTGTCTCCAAATTAGAGGAGAGGGAGATATGGGTAGGGGAGGTAGGCAAGGCAAAAGGATTTCAAAATAATACTGCTTAGGAGTGTATATTTTAAGATAACTACTATACCTTGTCTATGCTTGACCCTAATCTTGGATAACTGCACGTTCATGCAAAATATAATTTCTACTCTAGGAAGAGGAGCGGTCAGTTAGGAAAAGCATATTCTTAGGGGAAGACATGAAGATATCTCTGTCATAGGAGCTATTTTATTTGGTGAGTCTTTTGGCTACATCACTATGTGCTATTTCAACCTCCTTATCAGTGAGACAGGTATTGGTGAACTCATCCCTACTATACGAATTAGTTAAGTATCTCCAGATGCCAGTCATTCAGTTGTGATATTTTTGGCTCACCATCTTGACAATAATGCACTTTGGGCAATAGGTTGCAATCAGCTAATGTCATTTCATTGCCATCCAGAAAGTTACATGTAGAAAACTTAATGTCCTCCATACTCTTTTCATCAATTTCATCAGGGAGTGCAGAATTCAGATATTCATCCAGTTTCTGCATTGTTTTCAAGAGACCCCTCTCCAGTGCTTCATTAGCCCCTGGCCTCGAATTCTTGATACATGTAGAGAATTAGGCAAAGATGTCCATTCCAGCAGTATTTTGACTCTGGGTGTTTTGGTGAAAGCTTTAAGTACTTGGGAGGGCATAAGACTTCTTCAAGAAATTCCTCAATTTTATTTACATCCCTTTTAACATCGTTGTTGAAAGTTATAAATGGTGGCTGGGTCCAAGGAGCCAAGTTCTGCAGGTCTGCAGGCTTTCTTTCCAGGGCAACGGCGGTGACACTCACTACAACTCCTTTGAGCCTCTGAGAAAGGGGGCAGTTTCCTGTGCTTTCACCATCACTGCCAGGCTTGACGAAGCGCTCGATGAGGGGCTCCTTGTCCTTCAGCGGGTTCAGCGGCATGGAGAACGTGCCCGGCTCAGCTGGGCCCCATGGACCGCGGCCACTGCCGCTTCTGCTCTGGCCCCGCCCGCGCGGCTCGCTGCACGGTCCCGCGTGGGAACTGCCCCACGCCCGGTGCCACTCGGAGGCTGCCACAGCCGGTTTTCGCTTCAAAACGCTGGGCGGGGCTCCGGGGCTGTTTTTTTTTGTTTGTTTGTTTTTTTGAGATAGGGTCTCGCTAAGTCACCAGCTATAATGCAGTGGCATCACCATAGCTTACTGCAACCTCAAACTCCTGGGCTCGAATGATCCTCCCGCCTCAGCCTCCTGAGTAGCTGAGACTACAGGCAGGTGCCACCATGCCCAGCCAATTCTTTATTTTTAGTAGAGATGGGGTCTCCCTCTTGCTCAGGCTGGTCTCCAGCTCCTGGCCTCAAGCGATCCTCCTACTTTAGCCTCCCAAACTGCTAAGATGACAGGCCTGAGCCCCCGCTCCCTGGGTTGCTTCATGCATTTTATATTATTATATACATAAATATCCATCTTTTGGATTGAATGTTATTTTATACTCTTTGTTGGAGTATTATCTGTAACTCTTTTGTTAGTTTGCTTCAAAGTTTATAACATATATCAGTCTACCTTAAGGTGATATTAGATCACTCTATGTATAGAATAAAAATCTGAAATAACATACTTTATTTCTTCCCTCTTGACCATTATGCTATTGTTGTTTTACTATATGCATGCTATAAAAGCCTCAATCTATTGCTATTATCTTTGTTTAAATAATTATTTTTTAAAAATATTTAAATAAAACAATAAAAACATTTATATATTTACCCATTAGTTGCCCTATTTGATGGTTTGATTTACATTTCAATCTGGTATAAGTGTTTTTCCTTTTGCCTGAAAAAAATCTCTTTATTTTTTTAGAGCAGTTATTTAGGTTTTGTATTTATATTTGTTTTTATATCTTCTTTGTTTTTGAAGATCTAGAATGCTAAGATACTGCATTCCAGATTGACAGCTATATTCTTTCAGTACTTTAAAGAAATTATTCCACTGTTATCTTGCTTGCATTGTTTCCGACAAGAAATCTGCTATTTTCCTTATCTTGTCTTTTGTACTTAAGGTTTTTTTTTTTTTTTAAATCCTTGGCTGCTTTTAATATTGTCTCTTTATCACTGGTTTTGAGAAATTTGATTATAATATGCCCTGGTGTATTTATGTTTCTTATGCTGAGGTTCTTTAAGCTTCTTGGATCTTTGGGTTTAAGGATATCATCAAATTTAGACAATTTTCATACATTATTCTTCATTTTTTACTCCTACTCTTCTTTCTTGTTAGTCAGGGACTTCAGTTACTATCTGTAATACCTACATGTGTATTAAACATCCTGAAACTCACTGATGCGATTTTCATTTTTTTGGATTCATTTTTCTGTGTCGTTTCATTTGGATAATTTCTATTGCTATGTCTTCAAGTTCATAATCTTTTTTTTTTTTGTACAATGTCTAATCTGTTATTAATTCCATCTGGGATATTTTCTTCTCATACATTGTAGTTTTCATCCCTAGAAGTTTAGATTTTGATCTTTTTTCTCTCTCTTTTATGTCTCTACTTAATTTTATGAATACATGGAATGCAGTTATATTAGCTGTTTTAATGTCATTGTCTGCAAATTTAATACTTGTGTCATTCTGTGTCATTTTTGTTTGATTAATTATTCTTCCCACTATAGGCAATGTTTTCCCACTTTTTTTTTTATCAGCCTGATAATCTTTGGATGGTCAGAAATGGTACTTTATTGGGTGTGGGATATTTTTCTATTTCTATAAATATTCTTGAGCTTTGTTCTGGGATGCAGTTAAGTTACTTGGAAACAATTTGATATTTTCAGATCTTAATCTAATTTGTAAGATGGTTCCAGAAGAGTGCTAGTGCTGTGGCTAATTAATCATCTCCTTTGAGGTAAGGCCTTTTTGAGTATTCTACCCAGTGTCTCATGTATTATGAATTATTCTATCTGGCTGGTACGAACAGGCTCTATTTCTGGCCATGTGTGAGCTCTGAGTACTGTTCCCTGTAATCCTTTTGGATAATTCTTTCATCACACAAATGTACTAATTAACACTCTGCTAATACTTGAGAAGGACCCTCTGAAAGTCTCTGTGTGTGTCTCTCCTTTTTAGAACTCTGTTCTGAGAATTTGGATATTAATTTCTTGAAATGTCAGTTCTGTTTCTTCTACTCAGGAAGTCTTTTAGTTTCTGTCTGGGATCCTTTACCTCAGCCTGGAAATTCTCTCAAAGCAGTAAGCTGGATCAGTTCTAAGGCTCATGTCATTTGTTTCTTGTCTGTCACTGTCTTTCATTGCCTGACGTCTAGTGTTTTGTAAATCATTATTTCATATAAATTGGGTTTTTTTCCAACCTAGAGGGTAAATCCAGTTCCTGTTACTCCATCTTAACTGGAAGCAGAAGTCTCTCCATTGGGTCTTAGTGTTTATCTTTGCTAATTTAATCATCTGCAATATTGGTTGATTTGTTGGTTTTAGTAGCCTCTGCTTGTACTCAATGTTATGCCTGTGTCCATTATTTTGTTTTTCTAAACTTGCCACCAATTTGCCCAGAGTGTCTGCTTTATTCCATTATAACCCTTTGTCTTTTTCCTTACTCAGGCTTGATACGCAATGACCTTTGGGACACATTTTACAAGCTTCCAAGTTTATGGAGGGCAAGGCATGATGGGAGAATAATTACTTTATTTATGTGAGTTCTATGACTGCACATGGTTGTGGCTGGCAAGGTGGCCCTAGGGCTACGGACTGAGGGATAGAGAGTGGAAGATACCAACAGATGCTTACGAATGACACGTTTAAAACTTTCGCATGGCAAATTCTGTTACCGAGACCTCAGAATATGCTTTTTATTTTTCTTTTTGGTCCAAGTGAACAATGGAATAGAGATAGACGGAGGGAGATTCGCTGAGGTGGATCTATCTTGAATGTTGTGCCTTTTGATTAGAGCTACTGAATACCAGGAAAATATTTAAATGAAGGTGAAAACTCTTTAAAAGTTCTCAGAGTGATAGCAATATCTAGGCCCCATTACCGCAAAACTGTGTGGAGTTGTTTGCCTCCAAATGACATCAGAAACCCTATAAACCTGGGTTACACTAGGAAGCCAAATAGTTAGAATGAGAAAACCACAGTTTTCTTTTTGCAAACAATGAGAAATAAAGCAGACAGAATTTAGTTTAGAGAAATGACATATTTGTGTCCAACAGTGAAAGCGCCCATCATTTTGTCCTTAATTTACCTTCATAGGCTTGCTGACCTTTGTACTTCAAGCTGAAAACTACCCTATGTCAACATTTATAATTTAATGTGTAATAACCATTTGGCATTAGTGGCTGAGCAAATACTCTTACACAGTGCCGAAACCAACCTCAAATTGATAAATCTAAAAGAAAAAATCGAAAAAATATTTTTCTTTCTGAAGAAAAATAAAGGTAAACTAGTTATTCAAATAAGTATGAAGATTTAAAAAACATAAATAGAAAACTTAAAAATTATGTACTGCATTTTAGGTGTAATGAGCTAATCATCTCAAGGTTTTTCATGATTTAAATGGATGTACTAGATCAGGACCACTAGAAAATTTAGACCAGATGACATTTGCATGGGGTTGACAATGGGACATGTCTGCTCTCACTGCCAGGACAGCAGAGCAAGATGGGAAGAAGCTTCCAGATACTGTTCTTTGGGAACACAGCACATTCTCAAAATGATTGTAAATTTTCATTCCTATGATGTTTTACCCTGTGCCTGCTGTAAGGATGTTGTCATGGATGCTGTTTATTGTATATCTCTTGTCTTTTTCTGTGAAAACACAGGGGAGAAACTTTGCTCTGGTCTCAAGTTAGAAGCCATTAAGATCATACTGAGTAACTGGCTTGTGTGTGTGTGTTGGTTTGTTTGCTTATGGACACTTTATTGGTTGCTAGAAAGCGCATAGTTAAATTTTTTTCCTATTCCAGCAAGCATGCCTGACTTGTTGGCATAAAGTCTGGATGCTAAGTTCAATCATCAATTTGCCTTCCTTTCATATCTTTATTTCCTTTTGCCTCTTTTTCCTTAAATTTTATGCCATCTGGCTGCACCTTATACATTTAGGTTTATAGCCTTTGGTCCTTCTTTTCTTTTCTTTTTCTGGAGAAAATTGGGAGTAATGAGAATAAAACTAAAATACAGATTTAAATTTTTTGTTTTATGCAAGTATATGTTAAAATATTGGGAGAATAAAGGGACCCTTTGAGCATAAAAAGTAGGTTCTGGCACGACACCGTTAGCATGCTGTATCACTTAGCAAACACTTTCTAAAAAACAACTTAGCCATCATTAAGAAGGAGGACACACTGAGTAAATCAATGAGTGATTTCCAAGAAAAACTTTCTTTGACTGGAAAGACATGGTAGGACTTTCATTTTTTTAAAATTGAAATCTGGAAAGGAAAACATGTAAAGAAATATTCTATTCTGGACCTGATTGGCAGCAGGTCAGGCTAGAGTGGTGATGTCTGGAACCTACCACTCAAACAGTCTTGAGGCTCAAACATTAGACAATAAAAGCTTATGGAAGGCAGAAGGCAGAGACATGGATATCTGGTGTCAGGGTAGCTGCTGGGGGGGATATGGCCATGGTGATGGGGTCTCACTATGTTGCCCAGGTTGACCTGGGAAGTCCAAGATCAAGGCACCAGCATTTGATAAGGGGCTTCTTGCTGTGATCTCGCATGGTGGAAAGCAGAAGGGCAAGAGAGAGCAAACCCATTCTTGAAAGCTCTATTTCCAGTGGCATCAATCCATTCATGATGGCAGAGTCCCCGTGACCTAAATACATCCCCAAAGGCCCCCTCTTCCAACACTCTGGCACTGGAGATTAACTTTCCAGCACATGAATTTAGGGGGGCATATTTAACAATAGGAGTCTAGATGCGATCAAAAAAACAGTGACTGTAAATAAAGAAGGAAAGAGTCCTGAGCCCTGGGGGCACTGTAATATTTAAAGGTCAGGAGGATGAGGAGAAACAAGCAAAGGAAAATGGGGACAAATCAGTGAAGTAGAAAAACCAAGAGAGTGTGACGTGCTGGAAGCTGAGTGAAGAAAGTGTTTCCAGGAGGAGGGAATGATTAACTTGTCAAATAAGAAGAGAGCTGAAAATTGGC